GGCTAGACCACCATCGAAAACCTGGAAGCACTGGACGGCCGTTTCGTCCTATTATGGGACTCCTCAGCAGTGCGCATCCACGAACCCGCTCTCGCGAGATTCGAACCCAGGACCTACCAGTCTCGAGCCGGAGCCCTTAACCGATAGACCACTGAGCTGGCATCCAACGGTGTTAATGTCTAACCTCAACCAATCCACGGGTCCGTGGATGCGCACTGCTGAGGAGTCCCATAATAGGACGAAACGGCCGTCCAGTGCTTCCAGGTTTTCGATGGTGGTCTAGCCTCAATTAACTCATGATCTTAACTATAAAATTACTAAATCTCCACAAAAACCCCCCTTGTGATTTGTTTTTGTTACATCATGTGATGCGTGCCTTTTTAAATATATAAATGTGTTGATTCTCGCCAATCAGAGAGGAGTGAATTATCGATCAGAGCAATGATACACAAAGACCGTACGAGCATTCTTGAGTACTTATCAATCCTGCTTTCTGCCTAGCCTAGCCACTTAAGTCCACAACATTAATAACATATTCTGGAATATGAATTATTATTCTCAAAAATACTGAGCTTATATACCAAACAAACAGACCATATCGTACCATAAAATAGTAAATAACATTTGTACAAGATTTAGCCAGATGTGGTTGTGAATAGGGGGGGGAAGCAATTAATAGACTGGGTATAACTCAAGAATGGTAAATGGTATAGTAATAGTCTATAGGTCAAAATATAGTCTGTTATAAGAGGGACACGAATATGGATACTTTAGTTACTAAACAATTATATAATAGGAAATATACATATCACATTGGTCTATAAATAGTTCTCAGAGTTACTATTTATAATTCTCCACGGGATATAACAGTTTTACGGGTTAACAATTTATAGAGACATTCATATGAATGAATATTATGTTATTAAGTTACCCTGAAGTATACTTATACAGTAATATATTGTTTCCTTTGAAATCATGAACTGATTTGAGTTAAACTCTCACTGAAAACCTGGAAGTATTAGAGGACCGTTTCGTTATACTATTGAACTCTCAAGGAGTGCTCATCTACGACGACACAACCACAGACCGAACCCAGAGCCTATGTTCCCGTGTGCAAACGCCTAACCTCTAGACCATTGAGCCGGGATTCAACGGTGTTAATGTTTACCTTTAAACAACCCACGATGTTACGTGACTATTGTTCATTGTCTTCGGTGACTCGTGGAGTAAATTTTTGTTGGGTATGGGGCAGCTACTCACTAATGAAAAGTGGTATCGACAAATAGTGGATTGATTTCAGTTAGGCATTAACACCGTTGAGTGCTGCCTAAATGGTCTAGAAGTTAAGGGTTCACCCGCTGGACTGAAGGTTCTGTGTTTGATTCTCATGCGGGATCATGGATGAGCACTACTTGTTAATTCGGTAGTACGACAAGATGGGCTCCCAGTACCTCCAGGTTTTCAGTGGAAGTCTAACACTGATCGGTTCATGGTTTCAGTGAAACTCAATAATTAGAAAATCCCATAGATTACGGTTTGGCTATAGGTTCTATCTGACTCATCTAGTAAGATAAAACTGCATACAGATCAGTATTGAATTAGATAACAGGTATATTCAATCAATACTTATTGTTATGAAGTAGGATTTTAAAGTTTTGACAAGAACATTTTCCGCTGTTAAATGGATGAAAGGAATGGTGAACGATAGATGAGATTCAGTAATAGGATTTGGCTTGCGATGGTTCCTAAAAAGGACGAATCACTAATACGATCCTCCTGTCCCAATAATTGAAATGTTATCAGTACCAAGTAGTGCCATGTAGCAAGAAACCTAGGTCCAGATTTTCCTGTTGACTACTTACAACCACCATCTTAATATTATCAGTAGACAACTACTCAACAGACTAAGTTGGTTTTATGTAATAGATTAACATCTTGTATAAAAATTATAGACAGGAAATGTCTTTTTTTGGGGGGGAGGGGGAAATGGGAGGAAATCAAATTTATAAGTCACTCGTACTCTCTAATCAATCAAGAACTTGACAATTACATCAAATACTAAACAAGGCTTTGATTGAAACTAATCTTTTCCCTATGAATATAGTAATCAACAATTCTATCTGTTTGAGAGAGAAATAGAAATGAAAATTGGATTTATATGGAACAGTATATTGTTCAAAATATTTGTCTTAGTGATTAAGTATCTTAGTAGTTACCTACATAAAATTTATGTATAGGGGATAATGGATTTCTAAGGTTTGAGTATATCTACCAATATACTGTCAATAGTCTGCACTAACTGATCAACTTCTGTAAACATATAAACTACTTGACCAAATGTATCGATACTACTTATAAATAGATATTGGTTAGACTCTGCTATGATCGTTATTGTTGTCAGTAGTAATAGAAGTGGTAACAGTGTGGTGTATGCTATCTATGTTGATAGGTATAAGTAGTATGTAGCACCAATCAGAAATAGAATGTCTAGCAGCAGAAGTTTGAGAAGATCAAATCGAAGAGAACAAGAATGTAAACAGAGAGTAATTGTAAGAACAGTGAAAGAACCATGAATTTTAAATCAATTTAGATGAAGTGACAACAGTAGTGATTTTGCATCTTGTTCCGAACTTGGAAAATCCTACCTAAATATATTTGATGCTTGGGATAAGATGGTGGTTGTAGGTGGTCAACAGGAAACTCTGGACTCGGGTTTCGTGCTATTTGGCACTCGTCAGCAAGGTGTACCTGTAATCTAGAGTAAACTGATGCTCCATTACGGGTTCAATCCCGTGTCACCCAGCTTCATAGTCAGAAACGTTACCACTGAGCAATTCGGGCCGCGACCAACGTCCTGTAGGAGTGGTGATCGATGTCATGTGTGCCAAATCCTTCTTATTGCAGTGTTGAGCCACCTAGACTAGTGACCATATTGTGACTTGATCGATAGCATTCGATCAGCACTAAGAAGGACTTGACACTGATGACATTGATTACCACCCACTCTGTCAGGGAAGTCCTACTCACTGCCTTCTCACATTACGGATGTTGTTTACAAAATTGAGAGGACGAAAAGCGAATGCGCTTTAACCGGGTTGGTGGACACGGAGGGTCCACCTAGGGGAGTAAGAAAACCATTATTCAAAACCAATGGTGTGCATGGGCTTCAGTATCCTGAGGGAACAAATGGCGTAGGAATCAATCGTTGGTCACCGGCTACCATGGGATTGCATCTTTTCACAATGCTCCACTACCTTGTGGATCAAATCTTTAGGTCAAAGGCTCTCGGTGTGTCCTTCTAAGAAAACCACCTACTTCAGTTTGGGCACCTGAGTAGTATCACAACCTTCACACAAATCAAATGAGATTTGTGTGGTGCATATATATCTGGTGCCCTTTTTTGCCAATATTCATGTGTTTAAATAAATAAATAAATAACTTATGTCTATCAACATAAGTAGTATGTAGAACCAATCAAAAGTGGAATGCCTGAAGAATAAACATTGTCATTTAAGACAGAATATGATGAATCAACACTAATGAAGAATCTTATACTAACATAATACATCCATCCAGTAATTCCAGCTATTCAATAATGATCAATTCATGATTTCAACAGTGAATATACCATCATCTTCACAAAAACATTCATACCAATAGAAAAGAATTATGAAGAATTACTTGTTTTATTTCAAAATACAATTTTTTATAAAATAATTTTAAAAAAATATACAAAGGAAAATGGTCAATTACTTGTCACTATGGTAACAAAGATAATGGTGATAATCATCATAGTAAATGTCTTGTCATCAATTAGAAAAAAAACGACAGAATGTAAAGGATTTGATTGAAAATAAAAAAGAAAAGGGGATAAGATACTGACAAGCCATTACCAATGAATTCAGCTGTGATTGATTAGATAGTTTAGTTCGATATAACCATAAATCAAAATTGATTCTTTATTTTAGATTTAAAGACGAAACGTAACTGTAATTTGGGAATAGTGTTACCTGGCGGAACTGATGAAGATGAGAGAGACGAAAGTTGAAAAAGACTCACACAAAGTGAGAGAGTGTATGTGTATGTTTGTGTGTTTTGTGATCAAAAATTGGCTTAATGTTTTCCCTAGCTTTCAAATATTTGTAGAAAAAATATAGTTAGTTGAAACATACGCTGGATACTACTGATTACAATATAAGTAGTATATACCTTTTAGGCTTATTATTCTTACTATTATTATGTAGCAGTAGTAAAATGAGTTGTTGAATTACTAATCATAGAAAAATTCAACTTGAAATGAATAAAAAATAATAATATAAAATTAATTCATTACTGATTTCTTTTTCAATAAAAGCGAAACGAAAAGAAAATAGAAACAAAATCAATTAGTCAATTGTTTGGTCAGCTTATGGGCGGCCTATGCTCCTCCACGAGGTGTAACAGGCGTAAGTATGGAAGTTAGTTTGTTAGTCAGTTAACACAATCACAGACTGGTTAGTTCTAGTTTTTTCTATCTGATAACAGTAGTGATAGTCATAAGGAAAGTAGTGGTCCAATGTATAAAAGAGATTGAAAAAAAAAACTAATTGATGAAACAATCAAACAGAACTATTATTTTCGATAGGATGATATAAACTACTAACAACCATATCAGTAGTATAAATTGTAAATCAGTAGTGTTGGTTGTTGTATATATAAAATAGATTTATTTTTTAAAAAAAACATTGTTATTCATTTAGATGATGGAAAAATAGTTTAATCGAACTGAATTACACCAGTTCATTGAATAAAATTGTGATCCTTCATTAGGTACGGCACAGTTGGTGATATACATACACATAGTAAGTCAAAAAAATATGAGTAAGAGAATAAAGGGAAGAAAACAGCTTCTTCGATGGTGATGTTACATAATGATATTGATTATCTTGGTAGTCAATTCAATCATTGTCTTGTATTAATCTTGTAGAATAAATACAACATTTAGTGTTGTCAATTGTTAATCAATAATCAGATGATGGAAGACTCTAAACAGAAACATTGAGAGAAAGAGAAGAAATCAAGCAGTGGGATAGATTATCAGTTATGTTAAAATGTAATCATAGTTGAAATCGTGAATCAATTGAAGCTAAACCACCATGGAAAACCTGGGAGCATTAGACGGCTGTTTCCTCCTACTGTGGGACTCCTCAGTGTCGGCGCTCATCCATGATCCCGCGTTGTGAGATTCGAACCCAAGACCTACCAGTCTCGCGCTAGAGCACTTAACCGATAGACCACTCAGCCAACCGTCACCCAATGGTGTTAATGTCTAACTTCAAAAAATCCACAAAATCTGAGCAACCTTTCACCAATTGTCTTCAGTGAGTTGATATCTCTACAACAGACTTGGTTGAACTCCACTGGTCACTGCTTCCTACTAGAACTCCAAGAAATATATTTTGAATTCAGTCACTAGTGAGCATATGATTAGTATTAGCAGAAGGGGTTTTGTGGAAATTTCAGTATTTTCATAGTTGAAATCATGAGTCAATTGAATCAGTCAGAAGTTTTACATATAAGATTTATATTCATTGATGCTCGCTCAGAGATCATAAGTTATCTACATATTGAAATAGCTTATTAGTAATATCGCTGATCAAAAGAAAGAAAGATTAATGACTGCCAACCACTACAAAAGTTAAGTTAATTAAGGCTTCCTTCAAGATCACATTCAGGAAGTTAGCATAGGAATTTACCTAAATGTAACCATGATATCCATGAAGAAAGTTAGTGAACATTTCTAATGATCAAAATTATTGATTTGTTGCTATACATATTACATTCACCTAGGAAGGACAATTTAATGTTATAATCCCACTCTCTGAGATAGTTTAATAAGTCAAGCTACTAGTAATAGGTTATAGATATCTTCGAAGTACTGATAGGATATATTAAGGCCATCGAACTACAAGACAAATCAGTTGATGAAAGAGTACGTAGTTAGCGACTGTGATTATTGGGATATATATTACTTATGCGTAATTATCATTTACCTCAACATTTGATATTTTCTAGTATAGGAGTAAGTTGGACGAGAGCTAGGGGTGACCACTCAGAGACATACTATCAGTCTATAAACTCACTATTGGACGCAGTCATGTTGATAGATATAGACTATCTGATTAAGGTTCATATGATAACCAAAACCAACTGTTAGAGATATTGGATGAAATGGATAAGAACCATGCTAATTTAAGCAGATAGATTTTTTTCTGTCATGCTTTAGATCTTTAATTTTCTTGTCGAATAATATCTTCTATCCTTAAACTTTACTACTACTATTATTATTGGTAATACTTCAATTACTGCAGGATTCATGTTATTCATTTCTTGGCACTGTATTGATATGATGAGGCAATTTAAACCAAAGAATAAATCTACCAGGTTCTACATTGCTTCTGATTGAGTGACTCATTTTCAATTGTTTTGTTAAAAGGAAAATTTAACAATAAATTGAAAGAGGATATATATAAGTCTCATAAACTGAACGCTATACTCGGTTCCTAAGCTAGTTTTGTAACCCTTAAGCTAAATCTACATAGTGACTTGAACAAAAGAGAAGAGGCGCGAAATATACGAGAACCACTTTATTCCAAAGATTCAGATATGTACAGAAAATATAGGGTTTTTAATATTTTCGAAATCCTTGGGTTTCCCTCGAAAATTCTGGAATGCTACTTAACATAGTAGCAGTGTAGTAATCAGCTAATCAGAAACTCTATAAGTGACTTTGCATTTTTCGTGATGTTCTTGGCAAAAATTCTAGTCATGATAAAATGGTTCTTAATATTTTCTGAACCTTTCTTGTCTATTGAAAGAAATTTTCAGGATCGTCCCAACAGTTTTAATCGTTATCATCTTACTAAAGTCAACAATCTACACCCTTCTCATTATTACCTTGTAAAGTTTTAATAATATAAGCTAGAATATTAGCCATTTCTATGTTTCCCTTTGAGCAATAAAAGGTTTGTAGTACAATACTGAGAAGCCTCAATATTGAATAGAACATATGTGTTCAATCTTTTATTGTTTTAACTTACTTGCATCAATAATCGTTGAGTTGGACTTTTTATCATTTGAGCTTGTGTTGTTGTCAAACTACGTAATAAACTTTTCTGAAATTGTAAAAACATAATTTAAAAGGATATACAATATTGGATTCTTTTTTGGGAAACGAAAACATACCATTTCCTAAGAAATTCAATGATTCTTTAGGATTTACAACATAGATGATGGCTTAAAGTGGAATACAGGACGTGTGTTTCGTCCTATTTGGGACTCGTCAACAGGATGTACCTACATCTCAGAGTTGATGTCCACTCCAAGACTCGAACCTAATACTCTTAGCTTCAAACATTTGTATTTTATAATCATTAAAAACAAGGAAATGAATAAAAACTTATTGAGATGAAATATGTGATTTGGATATCCTATGATATTTACACAATAAGATCTTTAAAATACTAGAAAAAAGCCGAAAATATTTCATTTGATAAACCACCCCATTGCACAAGCACGTGACTCAATAGCTGAGTAGATAACGCGATGACCTTTGAAGCGAAACGTACTGGATTCGAGTTATGGAGTGAACATAAACTCTAAAATGCAGGTACATCCAGCTGACGAGTCCCAAATAGGATGAAACACACGTCCTGAATTTCACTGCTAGCCATTGTCCATCGTTGCTTATATTACTTGTGAATTATGCCTTTATCGAGGCAATACGCACAGTATGCACATATGCCAATAAGAAACTGACCAGTTTCAGTCCTAAACATCAATGGGAAGATTCAAACAAACAATACCAAGTGAATTTTTTTCTATTCTTTCACTTAAAGTGTAGAAGTAATCTGGGGTTATAAGGAGAAGCTAGTAAGTTAGTAAGAAGGGTTGAAGCAGAAGACTTATCATAGAATAACAATGAATTATAATCATTGTTGTTACTGTATAGCTTAGATAAAAATTTAAAGAGTGAATTGAAGAAACTAAAATGAAGTGCTATTCAACAGCTGTATCCTTATTTCCTCAACTCTTCAAAAGTTTGGAATGCTTGCAAAACATTTAGAAGTATCAAAGTCGTATATACAACTTCTTTCTTCATTACGAACTTAACTTTCAGGTCTTCAAAGCAATTACACTTCAATATTTCCTGATCCATTGGTGTTTCATCTAAAACTGACTTATTTTTGGTTAATATACCATTGCTCTAATTACATTTCAGTCAAATTACAACATAATAACAACATAATATTATTATTATAACTACCAAAGCCATCATCCAGAAGATAAAAGTGTTTATTAACAGTTGTTTACTTAAAATACTTTGGATCCGTTGTCAGACATTATCAGAAACAACCTACTTTGGGAGAGAACAAACCAGATTCCAGAGGAGGAAGGAATCAGGAGGAAGTGCTGGAGGTGGATAGGACATACATTGAGAAAAAGACCCACGTGCGTCATAAGGCAAGCCCTCACCTGGAATCCCGAAGGTCAAAGGTGAAGAGGAAGATCAATGAACACATTACGCCGAGAAATAGAGAGAGATATGAGAAGAATGAACAAAAACTGGATAGAACTAGAAAAGAAGGCCCAGGACAGAGTGGGTTGGAGAAAGCTGGTCGGCGGCCTATGCTCCATTGGGAGTGACAGGTGTAAGTAAGTAGGTAAATTACAACCTATCTTGTCGCATAATCATTTTCACAGCTATTAATCTCTATCTAAGGTTTATGACAATCTTTCGACAATCATTATTTAAGGTTTATAATAAAAATAGCACATTTTATCCTCATTATTTTGTTACCATGTTCAGTTACTCATTGATCTCTGACCAAGCATACTGTCAGTTATCTGTTTATGGAAAAGTTATGTAAATTTTGAGATGGTACCGCTGTAATGAAAAAATAATGTTACATCTAGTCATACCTGAAAATGTTGTAAACAGATACATCATTAACATAGAGCTAGGTATATATACGCTGACCTATACCGCCACATAGGATTAAGGTGACGAGATAAAAATAACAAAACAGATCGAAGTAATGTAGTGGGAATGATGTAAAGAAAGACTAGACATTAGGAGTATGGTTCGAAACGACGGAGTATAAAGGTATAGATCAAGAGATATTGCCATTCATGATCGAAAGGTAGATGAAGAATGAATTCATCCGCGATACTGTGAGCAATTCTGACCTGTGTCACTTAGAGCCTCCAAACACTGACCATGTTTATCTTGGAGCACCAATCACGTTGTCATTACCTATCAGTATGGCTTAGATCAACCGTCAATGACTTCATGGACTGATACCGAGTTTCGGTCTGACTGCTGAGTGCTGATGATATCGTCCAGAAGGGCAATGAAAGCTCTACGAACGAAACTCCATCAAAATCATCCACCTGAGCTACAAATCTTCTCCACCATCTCAAATGACAAGCTATGTTTCTCAATAATATCTATTTGTTTTAAGATATAATTCGCATACATTAGGATGACGAATACTGAATAGGACGAAACGTAAGTCTTATCTATCATTGATGACTACTACTCAACTTCTTTGAAATGTTTAATTAAACGACAATATCTAGATGATTTTTCCTGGATGCCCATATTCGGATAGTGACTAATCATTTTGGTACAGTTAAGCAATTAGAGATTGATTACATGTTACCATCACACGATTGGCCAAGATATGGCTTTCATTTCTAAGGAACAATACACATGCCACTAATTAGAAAATGTAGCTTAAATTTACAATCAACGAACAAATATACACATATGCATTAATATGAATCGAGACCTATTTCTCCATTTGGTTATCCAACGAAGATTATTTCTATTCATTCTTGGTCTTCTTACTCAAACAACTAGATATGTTCATGTAAAGGAAGCTTATGTTACAATATCAGGATCGAACGTTGTGCAAAGCAACATAATTTCAGTTCTTAACATCAACGGAAAAATACTAAAGAGAACTCCGCCTTTTTTTGTTATTAGGACATTATCAACTATACGGTATTGATTTTCAAATATAAAAGATGCCACTTTTTCCCCAAATTAAGTGAATTCTATTCAACTTTCACTAATCGAAAACAATTCGTGAAGAAAGAGAAACGGTTAATTACTTAGTAAATTCCATGGTATACATAATGGATTGATCTAAGTTAGACAATCTCTGAAGATCAGAAAACACAAAACACGTATTGTATTATATTGTGGGATTCATCTGGCCTACCAAGATTCGTCGCCACAGGATTGGACTATGTTATTCATATTTTAAAGAATCTGGATAGGGTCTGGTTCTTTTGAAAACCAATGTAAAATTACCCTCTAGGAGGATATATTTATAATTGCGTGTGTGACTTGATTAGTACTCTTCGGAAAAGCATATTCACAAAATTAGCAAAGATTTCAGAATACCAGTTTACAGTTTGAGCTATCTTCAAGAGATTTGAAGGTATTAGGCTTGATATCCGGTATAGGTCGTAGATATATACCATCATGGAGTTCATTACAAAGAAGAGAAAATTGTCTTGTACTACCACAGTCAGTCAGTCACAGCGTAGAACTTCGTACATGCGTACATCAGTTCGAGCTGCCATACCACATTAGCACTTGTACTACCTGGTATTTTATGACAGTCTTACTAAGGTCAGTACTTGATATAAGTAATAAAACGGAAAAAATATTCACAAGTCTCTTAATAACACTTAACAAACTTACTGAATCATTAAAACCTTTGTTCTTTTCAACTTTATTCAATTCATTAGGATGCATTAATGAATGTATATAAGGTTGATAATATGGAAAACGTTTACCAGTTGGTGATAATTGACGTTTTATATTTTTCATTCTTCCTTCTGGACTTGATTGTCGATTTGGTGATGATGATGATGCTGATTTACATGGACTAATTGAATATGGTAATATTGTTTGATCACATAATTCTGGTTTTATCATAGATAAATGTGATGGAGATATAATCATTGGTGTATTAATAGGAGTAGAAGTATTTGATGAATTGATATTGGTGGATGTTTGATTTAAAGGTTTTGATGGATTATAATTACTTTGTTGTTGTTGATGATGATGATGATGATGATCACGTTGACGAGGTTGAGGTGGATGTTGATGATGATGATGATGATGGTGATGGTGTTGAGGTGTATAATCATCTTGACGTTGAGATTGTTCTTGTTGCTGTTGTTGTTGTTGATGATGATGTGACGTATTGACCGGATTATTTGAAGGTCTTTGTTTATTACTATCGAATATAGTCTGATATTCTTGAGGTTTAATTGGATAATTATTATTTGACATTGTTGTTTTATCCAAATTTCCTGGTTTATTCATATTGTATAAAAATGTTTTCAATGAATCACTTAAACGTGAATTTTCCTCCTTGAAATAAAGAACGTCGGTACAAAACAAATCAAAGTATGAGAGAAATTATGATTCTAAAATTGCTTGCGACATATTTTCAACATATTTGATCTATGAATAACAATGGAACCTAGAATGTATGTTTTGTCCTACTTGGGGCTCGTCAGCTTGATGTTCATCACATTGAGACTTAAATTCGATCTAGTTATTCCGTTCAAGAAGCGAATATGATAACATAAAGATTGATTATTACTAGACCTAAGTAACAATAACCAGAAATTACTAATACTTACTAATTCATTAAGTATGTTTTACCCAGTGGTTACAAATAGAAGCAGTTATGAAAAGGATGAATGTTAACCGGAAAGAACTGGACGGGATCTCTTGGGACAGGGTTGGATGGAGAATGCTGATGTGTGGCCTATGCTCTTCCATGAGGGGTAACAGGCGTAAATAAGTAAGTAAGTAACCCTGTGGTTACAGTCTCTTTTGGACTCATTTAGTAAACGTGTTTATAATGTTGCAGTGTGGTTTTAGTTAATGACTTCATTTCATACTTATATTTCCATCATAAACTGACATAAATAACGAAAACCCTATATTGAATAACATGAAGAAATGAATGAATATTTGGTTAATATTTTCAATCCATCAGTAATACACACACATATACTCACTCAAGAGCTAATCGAGAATGGTATCCAAGACCTTTTCACTGTTGACTGAATGAATTCTTTCGGATCATGCTGTAATGTAACTACTACTCTAGGTTACTCAACATGATGTACACGATAAAGTTAGTCTCTATGTTACTCTATGCGATCTAGATTTCAGACTAGGTGATACACTTCAATCTTTTTAGTCTCAAAGTTAGGCTGAGTAACACAAATTCAAATACTTTACGTCAAAACAATTAAGTTCAGTGCTTAATGAGTCTTAATAGTGATCTAGCTAAAACTAATTACTAACTTAAACTATGAAGATTAATAGAGATAATATAAAATCAGGGGGGAAATAACAATGTGATTACAAATTTGGTCTTAAATTCTGAGAGAAAACTTAAAAATGACCAAATGTATTTACCAGAGCAACGTCGTATTGTTAACTATTAGTTATTAAAAGTAAAGATGAACAGTGGCTAGCAGTGGAATTTAAGATGTGCGTCTCGTCCTATTTGAGACTCGTCAGCTGGATGTACTGATTAAGTAAAGCACAAAATAATAAAAAAAAACCTTTTTTCTTGAAATAAATCATGAATTAATTATTTTATCAATTGAGATCATGAATCAATTGAAGCTAGACCAATATGGAATACCTGGAAGCACTGAACGGCTGTTTCCTCCTATTGTGGGACTCCTCAGTGTCAGTGCGCATTCACGATCCAGCCGCGCGAGATTCCACCCCCCAGGACCTATCAGTCTCGCTCACGACCGCTTAACCTCTAGACCACTGAGCCGACATTCAACAGTATTTTCCATGGTGGTCTAGCTTCAACTGATTCATAATCTCAACTGTTAAAATTACTATAATATCCAAAAATAACCCTTCTGATAATAATGAAGTATTTCATAAAAGAAAAAAAATATAGTGCTTACTTCTAACATATGAATAGCTTCTTCCTTAATTTTGATGATACCACGTAATTCTGAAATTTCAGCGTTTGATTTTTTCGCTTGTCTGGAATATATAAATATAGGATTTGTGAAATAAAACACAACAGAATGATATAATGTTTTCTTAGAATTAGTTAAAATGATCTTTATCTCTCTCTCTCTTTCTCTGTCCGCAGATGTCTGTGGTTGCGCTATAGATTAGTTCAGTCATATGGTTTAAATGATCAGTGATGATTTAATTATCAATTGCCATAGCGATAAATGAACAACAACTAAAACCTTAACATTCATAGACCATCGATCTCCTTCTAACTCTATGATGATGATGATGATGATGATGATGATGATGATGATGATGATGATGATGAGATGATGATGATGATGATGATGATGATGATGATGATGATGATGATGATGATGATGATGATGATGATGATGATGATGATGATGATGATGATGATGATGATGATGATGATGATGATGATGATGATGATGATGATGATGATGATGATGATGATGATGATGATGATGATGATGATGATGATGATGATGATGATGATGATGATGATGATGATGATGATGATGATGATGATGATGATGATGATGATGATGATGATGATGATGATGATGATGATGATGATGATGATGATGATGATGATGATGATGATGATGATGATGATGATGATGATGGAAGGTAGATTAATTCTATGTTGTACTCAATTCATTCATAAATCGAAATTCATACAATAATAGATTTGGAATGTTTAACGTCAGAGTAACATAGTTAAGGGACTACAGTATGTATATGACTGTTTGAAATTCAGTAGTCAAAACGTCTCACAAGGACATCACAAACATCTTAAAGTCTATCAATAGTCAGCCGATGTTGAATAACCATTATGAAGATTGTTCTCATTTACAGATTCATTAATTCATGACGTATACAGCTGACAAATTGAACTAATCTCGATAAGGCCACTTCAGTTAAAAAGGAAACTACGAATACAAATAGATCATAAGAGGATGAAGATTCCTTACAAAAAATGTTGTAACACTTACCTATCCAATAGATAACCGAATTCAGTTTGCTATTACAAAAAAAAGGTAAGAAACGAAAAATAAATTAAGCAAGGAAGATTTAAGCGTATCTGAAACGTGATTAATGAATGCATGGTACTGACTTCATAGCTAATCCTTTATCCTCAGAAAACTCCTGCCCCCAAATGCCCTGGTACGGCCAAAAGTGGGGAGAATCCGCTCTCCCTCTCCAAATGCTCTCACATGACCACGCGTATATAGCCTCTATCAGAGAAGTCCTACTCACTGCCTTCTCTCAAACGGGGTGTTGTTTACGAAATTGAGAGAACGAAAAGTGAATGTCCGGCGATTTAACCGGATTGATGGACACAAAGGGTCCACTTAGGGGAGTTGGTAAACCGTGGTTCCAAATCAATGGTGCACATGGGCTGGCTTCAGTATCCTGAGGGGCCAAATGGCGTATGAATCAATCGTAGGTCACCGGCTACCATTGAACTGCATCTCCTCACGATGCTCCATTATCTTATGGATCAGATCGTTAAGTTAAAGGCTCCGGATGTGGCCCTTTCAGAAAACCACCTGCTTTGGTTTGAGAAGCCGGGCAGCCCTCACACATATCAAACGAGATTTGTGTGGCGTATACATATCTGGTGCCTCTTTGTACCAATATTTATGTGTTCAAATAAATAAAAAAATAAAAATACAACTCCTACAAATAAACCTGAACAGTAGAGAGGTGCGAGATGAAAACAGAAACCTTAAGGTTCATTTACGTACAGAATACTAGCTTAGTTATACGATGATTGGTAACCTTTACAATCTTCAAATGTCTGGAAACATGTTAAATTAAGTGACAGAGTAAGGAACCATCCAATCAAATTTTGACCCATTACTTACTCACTTACTTACGCCTGTCAACCCTCATGGATAGGCATAGGCCGCCCATAAGCATCCTTCATCCAATTCTGTCCTGGACAAATAATCCATTAATTTTCTAAAAGTCTTTGTGGTATGTACTGACTAGGTGAAAATTTCTCAGCCTTTAGCGGGCTTCCGAAGATCTTATCGATGAATTCTTGTGGGTTTCCAATAATAACTAAGCAACTGTGAGTGATAGCTATTGTTTATTTATCCTGGAGATTATCTTTCTGTCAGTAGTTTAGGCGTTAAATCCACATCGCAAACCCTGAAGGCCGTAGATTTTATCAACAGTATGATCATGGACACTCACTACTGAAGAGTCACACACTATAACGAAACTGCTGCTCAGTACCTCCAGGTTTTTATTAATTGTTTAATGAAGATTATTTCGTGATGTAAATTATGAAATCGAATAATCTGCACAGAAACCTATACTGAAATGAAATTTAAATCTTACTTACCGTGCTTTTTGCCGCTGTTTGACGTAATGCTGAAGCAGTACGTACAGGATTGGAACCATCTGATTCAATCTACTCAAAATGAGATAAGAAACACTAGTTATGCAAACAGCTTACAAAAAACAAAATAGCACTTGTGAAAGTAATAAGATCAAGGAATCATAATACTTTTATTTATTCAATTAGATAAATGATTTATTCACCGTGAATTAGCATTAGTAGCTCTATTTATGATTTTTCAGCTTTTCTCTCCCTCAAACCCATTAGGTATAGAATCAAAGAGCATCATACCTTTCAATGTGTATATGTTTTCTAACGTATAACATTCGGTAATTTTATAAAGTTGAGATCATGAGTCAATTGAAACTAGACTACCATGGAAAATCTGGAAGCACTGAACGGCCGCTTCGTCTTATTATGGGACTCCTCAGCAGTGCACATCCACGATCCCGTACTCGCGAGATTCGAACCCAGGACCTATTAGTCTCACGCGCGAGCGCTTAGCCACTAGACCACTTAGCCTTTAGATTAGACTATTCATTGAACTGTATCATAATTCATCATCCTATTATAGTCAACCTATATAATTGAATAACGTATTTATTTATGAACTCGGACTTAAGCTATCGTTTATTTATGACAGTTAACGATACTAGCAACCTTGGCAATCGATATGAAGTTTCAATGGTCAACCTGATGATAAGATACTGAATTCAGTAGAGAGCAGGTTATTTAACTATTTGATAAACTGACTTAATTGAGTTTCTAAATGACTGAAATTAGAAATTTCTAGATCATTTCATTTTAAAAACAGTCTAAAAATTATTGACATGAAATTAAGGAAGAATTCGATTTCATTGTAGCTGCTATTTTGTCATAATGACCAAGTTCTTTTGTTGTGATGAGTAAATCGGTTTATACATTCTGGAAATCTTGTCATTGCAGTTCCATCCTACCAGGCAAGCTTGTGTCAGAGTGACAATATGAAATGCAAAAAACTTAAGTTCTGGTCGCGAACATCTACCACTAACCGTTCTAAGGTATTGTGTCATTTAGGTGTGTTTCATAAGTCAGTCAGTCAGCTACAACGTAGGACCAGGCACATATATGCATCGGTCCAAGTTGCCATACCTCGTTAGCACAACAAGATGAACACCGGAGTGGTAATGTTATCTTCAAACAGACTGAGAAAAAGGTTAGAGAGAATCTGTTCTAAAGACAAAACAACTCCGGTTGTTACACCAATCTTCAGTACTCGACAATTAAAAGGTTCGTAACTGGTACAACAACAACCACTCACAAAAATATGGTGTATTACCGGCTTCAAACATTGTCATGTTAACCTCTGAGACCAAGATATCAGGTTGACAAGATGACCAAAACTAATCCAGCTTCTATTTCAAGTCCTAACAGAAGTAATACCTAACCATAGCTTGAGAATCCTTAAATTATCAACAGCTTGATTACCTTCGAATTTACTACTGCTTTAGTTATAAATATTGTCATATCACTTTTGATTTGATGTTAGTTTGGACTAGAAATACATTTTTGTAGGCCTATCTGCAAAAATTACTCTTTAATATTGACATCGCTGAAATAGTTATCTTCCTTACCACTTCACATAACTCTGACCTTCTTCATTCATTCACAAACACACTTCAATAGTTGCCTCATTAGTATCTAGTCAGATTGAAAAACACACAATGAGCTTACAAGTTTAGACAACATATTCAACTGTGATCTAAGCTGTTGTACTTCATTCATTGAATCAACTATTTGTGGTAATTCATTTGTTGAACGTCCACTTCTTGTTGTATGTACATTTTTATCAGGATAATTAGTTGACTGTATTGGTTGTGATGGATTAGTTTGTTGATAATAACCTCTAGAGCCGGAATTCAAATTTGGTAAAGCTGATCTAATATTTATTGGTGCTGTTGATATTGAGGCTTCTCTGTAAATATTTTTTAAAGAAAAAAAACCGAGATAAAGATTACAGTTTACATTATTGACTAATCTTAGTTATATATACTTGAAATCATGAAGCTAGACCACTGTAGAAAACCTGGAAGCACTGGACGGCCGTTTCGTCCTATTGTGTGACTCCTCAGCAGTGTGCATCCACGATCCCGCCTCGCGAGATTTGAACCCAGGACCTACCAGTTTCGCGCCAGAGCACTTGACCGACAGACCACTGATCTTAGTTAGACAACCTTCAAAAAGCAGGAGGAAATGGACTATTGTTTTGTCCAAGTGTAGAACTCTTTAATAATGAATAACCATTGCACAAATATGGGTCGAACTCAGGACATTCAGGTTTGGCAGCAAGTGCTTGAATTCTAAATTACTGAGTTGACACCCACTGATCTGGATTTATAAATTCAGTCAATTCGCGGTATTGAGCAGCCATTTTCATGCACTATTGTCAGGTAAGTGTGTCACTCATGTTCTGGTCACAGCTTCTCATAGAAACTCTGGGAACCATTTTTCAAAATTAGTCACTAGTGAGCATACGATTGTTTCTCATACAGAAGGTTTATTTTCGAGCACTGTACAATTCACATTTACGTGGTTTATCGAATGTAGCGAAAAATTTATTGTCTGCTAGTCGGCAAATGTTTGATGAATGGAATTTATGGATTATTTATTTTGCATTATGATTAATAGTGAAATCTTGGACACATGTTCTGTCCGATGTTTACTACCTGCAACACAAAGTCTATGCTCACAATGAAATCTGGATCCAATGATCATTCCTTCATCAAACTCCACTGCATTACTTAATATGCTATTAAGGTGAAAATACCCCTAGTGAAAGGATCCCAAATAGGATCAATCATGTATCTGAAAATTCAATTTAGGCTAATGTTCAAAATATATAGTCCGAGAAAATTGATATGCTTGAACTAAATCGATTCCGCGTTAACGAACGAAAGCCAATGACACAATTACTCGATAAGCAATTCTAATCTGTTGCCCCAGGCCCCGCTAACTAGATGAAGAAGTCTAAGGCAAGTAGGGGAATATATGTATTCCGTAAGCAGCCGAGTACAAGCAATCAAATAAGGAAAAAAGTCAAGCTCATTTATACAGCAACAAATTGTCCTTGAGCATCATTAATAAATAGCACACACAAAGAAACAATGGACCAATAGCGTTTACAAATGAGAAATATGACGTGAAGGTAAAAAGAGCGCGTTTGGTGCGAAAACAGCTAAATTCAAATTTCCAAAATAAAATTACAAAAACTAAGTCATTTACAAAGTAAGTTCTGGGGATTTGACATCCCCAACAAAGGTGTAACAAAATGATGTGCCATGGTTTCAACTATATAAAACAACTAAAATCTCCACAAAACCCCCTTTTGATAATAATCCATATTATCGATTTTTTTTAATTCCAACAATCTCATGTAAACCGTCGACAACTAACAAAATTATCACAGAATCAATGATATCTGCATCCAGATCTTATTTGATTACTACATCACCCACTTCCACATGTTTTTCAATTTCATCTCCAAATGACCTTTAACCTCATTCTGACCTCCAATCTCTTATATATATTTATGTAGATATTTAATAATAATAACATTAATCACTTTATAGTTAAGATCATGAGTCAATTGAAGCTAGACCACCGTGGAAAACCTGAAAGCACTGGACGGCCGTTTCGTCTTATTTTGGAACTTCTCAGCAGTGCGCATCCACGAACCCGCTCTCGCGAGATTCGAACCCAGGACCTACCAGTCTCGAGCCAGAGCCCTTAACCGATAGACCACCGAGCTGGCATCCAACGGTGTTAATGTCTAACCTCAACCAATCCACGAAATTGCGCAACCAACTTCCAATGTACTGAGGTAGATACCTGTCTCTACCTGACATGGATTAGCTCCACTGGCTCGAGACTGGTAGGTCCTGGGTTCGAATCTCGCTCACGAGAGCGGGTTCGTGGATGCGCACTGCTGAGGAGTACCATAATAAGACGAAACGGCCGTCCAGTGCTTCCAGGTTTTCCACGGTGGTCTAGCTTCAATTGACTCATGATCTTAACTATAAAATTACTAAATCTCCACAAAAACCCCCTTGTGATAATTAATCACTTTAATTGCTTCACATTATATCTTATATTAATGTAAACTTTCAATAAATAATAATGGTTGTAAGCAGCTGCTAATGAGTAATCATAAAATATATTGTGAATTCATATTATTCTACCTTAATTGATAGTAAATTTCTAAATTCAATCATTTCATAATGTGATGAGACTAACCGTAGTAGAAGTAAATAACTAACTAACTTTCAATTTGATTGATATTATTAGCGAACAATTTTGATAGAGTTTTGTTCTTTGAGCTGGATGGTATGATCGTGAAGCTTTCATCGTTCTTATGAACGACATCGTCATCAGCACAAACTTCGGGAAGAACTATATATCTAAATTAGTAACTAATAAGTAAACTATTATTGTAGGTTAGAGAGATGGGGTTGTTTTTTTTAGGAAAAAACCGTTTATCTGGAAATTTGTATCACCAAATGTTATGACAGTATATTTTTGGTAAGAGTTTGTAATTTCATTGTAGTTCCATTGTGTTGTAACTAAATGCTGACTAAGTAGTTTTAATGTTGTCAGTCAGTCAGTCACAACGTAGAACTTCGTACGTACGTACATCAGTTCGAATTGCCATACCACATTACCGCAGAGATGAAGTTGTCGATTCAAATCCCATAGTGGTAGAAGTAGTAAGAGTATAAACAGTAATCAGAAAGATTAGGGTTTAAAGATGTTATTCAAGGAGTATAATCCAATGAAATAAGTTTGAAAAGAGAAAAAATTAGAGGCATGAAGAATTCAGAAGATTAGAATTTGATAGAACACAAAGATTGGATGCACCTTCGCCATTGCAAACGATTTTGAGCCATGTCATTCAAAGTCTCTAACCATCGATTGCTATCGTCTCGCGAATCCCAACCAAGTAGTATACACCTACCAGCATGGCTCAATCCACTTGTCAGTGACTTCATGGATTTGTGCCATGTTTTGGTCTGGCCGCCCCTAGCTTTCTTCCAACCTACTCCTACATCATAAAACATTGCACTTCGGGGCAGTCGGTGGTTGGGCTTACGTAACACGTGTCCCAGCCATCTCAACTGATGAAGTTTCACTACTTTATCAATCGATTTGCCATCCTTACCTAGTACCCGTTTCCTAACATCTGCATTACTTACTCGGTGCTTCCAGGATATACGAGCAGTTTTATTGTTGAAGTGTTCTCCGTAGGACCTGAAAGTTTTGAATTCCAGCCATTGAAAATGGTTTTGAGTACACACTACTGAGAAGTTCTTTAATAGGACAAAGAAATTTTCTATTTCTCTCTAGCTTTCAATCATGCCTCAATTAAAACCAATCTTATACGAATGTAATCTATAAATAATAACTATGGAAAAACAATCGGGAGGCGAATTGCGACTCACACGTCCTCGTCGTGCCTCCTGGATCATGGCAACCATCCCATGTACTAACGTGAGCCGTAATGAGGGTGGTGGAGATCGGCCTAATCAACCACTCTACTAATACCCGAGAACGATTACAAATGCTATATAGAGTCATTGTATAACTATTGATGGTTCAAAAGAGTAGTAAAAAATGAGTTTGCCCAAACAAAAACAAAAATGACAAAAAAATAGATTGTGAGTGTTATGTAATGGCTCTGCGTAAGCAGTGCAGAAACAGCTATCCCGTCCCGGGTGTTATGCCATGCTTCGATGTAGCACTCTTCTCCAGAAGGGCCTACTAGACTTCATCATTCAATATGGCTATATTCTATATGAAAAATCAATTATCTTTTAGATTGTTGAAATTGTACAAAAGAACTAATGGTAAATTGTAAAATATACATCCAAAATTTAGTCATCCTGATTATTTTGTTCGTGTGTCTATGAAAATGTCTATGTTTTTTCATAGGGTGTCTGATTTTTTTTCAAGTGTTTCACTTGTTCACTTAAGTAATGATTTACTCTGTCTCTCTCTCCCCCCCCTCTCTCTTTTCATCATGATAAAAAGCAAAAATTATCATATTTCGAATAATTTCCAATCTGTCACTTTTTTTCTCATTTAAGTCACCAACTGTGACTACTTTTTATCTCTAGGTAGAGTTTCAAATATTTTTTAATCCTTTATCTCTTAGCTTAATTTATTTACACTCTAATTATTGAGGTAAGGTGGTGGTTGGAGGTGGTCAACAGGAAACCCTGGACCCGGGTTTCGTGCTACTTGGCACTCGTCAGCAAGGTGTACCTGTAATCCAGAGGGAACTGATGCTCCCTGGCGGATTCGATCCCGCGTCACTCAGCTTCACAGTCAGAGACGTTACCACTGAGCTATTCGGGCCGCGACCAACCTTTTGTAGGACTGAGATGTAATCACAATTGATTGATCACTGGGTGGTGATCAATCTCATGCGTGTCAGGTCCTTCTTAGTGCTGATCGAATGCTATCGATCGAGTTGCAATGTGACCACCAGTCTAGGTGGCTCGACACTGCTTGCACTATGTATATTGAGGTAAGGTGGTGGTTGGAGGTGGTCAACAGGAAACCCTGGACCCGGGTTTCGTGCTACTTGGCACTCGTCAGCAAGGTGTACCTGTAATCCAGAGGGAACTGATGCTCCCTGGCGGATTCGATCCCGCGTCACTCAGCTTCACAGTCAGAGACGTTACCACTGAGCTATTCGGGCCGCGACCAACCTCCTGTAGGACTGAGATGTAATCACAATTGATGGTGGTGGTCACATTGCAACTCGATCGATAGCATTCGATCAGCACTAAGAAGGACCTGACACGCATGAGATTGATCACCACCCAGTGATCAATCAATTGTGACACTCTAATTATATTCATTTTTATATTGATTGTTTGAATCTTCCTATTGGTGTTTAGGACCGCAATCGATCAG